AAATTTCTTCTTTTTTTTTTGTCTTAATCTTGAAAAAATGAGCCTGGCAGATCCGTAAAACAAGCAATAAAATTGGTCTAGCTTAATACCTGTGTACAATGTTTCTCCAAGTTTCACACATCAAATCTTCTCAGAAAGAGAAATTATAGAACCTGCTCACTTGATCAGTTTTTGTTTAGATTGGAAATGCGTCATTATTAAGTCTGTATCATGAGTGCATTTCTTTTGTCACTAAACTGGAATCAAAACAGCAAAACTTTCATAGCATTTTGTGAAGCTAGGTTCAGGGTGTGAGCAAAGCAACGCATGTGATGTTGAGGCAGCATCTCCATGTCAGCCACCATGTTGGATGGATTATTGGTAACCACTGTAGAAGTCTTTTCATGGATGTTTCAATCACTGAAACATTTGAGTAATGCATTAGCCACATTCTCAGCAGTATGAGATTCACTCATAATTTCTGTCCCAAGCACACAGCTGAGCATTTTTCAAACAGGTGAAATAAAGTGGCAGGTAACACAGGGTACGTATTCGTCTTTTTTCAGTACCTGCACCAAGTGCAGTTGAGTGTTTATACCAGACTGCACCAAAGAGACTCAGACTGCACCCTCAGTGGTCACGTTAATGTGTTCCATTTTATGAGTTTGTATAATTAAAAATAACTATTAAATACACTTGTTTTGTTTTTTTATTCATGTGAAAGAAAGCTGAACAACTTAGCATGAAAAGGAGAAAATGTTTTGATGCACTAATATCATAGTCTATTAAGTGCATCATGGTATCACTGTTAGTCTTGAAACTCTTAGTATGGTAAGTCACATTATTGCTACATACTAGCATTAGTAGATTTACTCATCCAAGTCATCATCACTATCATCACTTGACCATGCTGCAGAGTCACTGTCAGTAGGTAGGGGTTTTCTCTTCCCATACGGCTGTCTTGGGAACCTTTTACTTAACCAAAGACTTACTGGTCCATCAGCATTAAAGTCTTTCAGAGCTGGACCATTTAGCTTGAGTGACATCAAGTCTGTCAGACTGTCTGACGTATAGTTTAGATCTCCAGTCTGTTTTAACACGCTTCATAAGTGAGAATCCCCTGTCACAGATGGCACTATTGACTGGGAGGGAAATGATGATCCTCACAAGTGCCATAAGATCACCATATTCTGGCAACTGGGCCATCTTTTGCCATGCAGCAAGGAACGATAATGTTGCCTCAACACTTTTCATCTTCAGAATTTTCTTTTTAGCACCAGTCCACTGTAGAAGAACATTTTCCAAAGAAAATCCCTTTCTTGTCAGGGGGGCTTGAAAATGTGTGAATATTTCTGTTACTTCACTGTCACCATATGTCCTGAGAACATCTGGGTCACTTGGCCATTCATCTGGATTCAATACAGATGATCCTGCTGAGACAGCATCTTTAATGTCAAAACGCTTGGCAAGGTTTGCCTGCATATTTGCCACAACTTTCTCACCATCAGAAACAGCATTAGCAATTTCTGTTTCAGGTTTTTCCTTAATCTTCGATCGGCTTGGTGCCCTTTCAGGTATGCTGAGGGAGTGCCCATTGAATTGGTACAGCTTCTTGGTATCACTGGGTACCTCTGTCACATGAATACCCTGCATCATGGTATCTTTCAGGTGATCCCCAGACATCTTCTCCATTTCCACACGTTGTTTCAATGGCTTCATGGACAGTGTGTAGGCCTGACTTGTCTGACTGAAAGACTTTACTTAGTTTTGAGAGCATGTTTAGGAATACCAAGTAAAAGTTCAAAAACATAATGAATTTGATAGACTGTATCACTTTCAAAATGGCTCTTGCTTTTTCCTGATTGCCTCATTTTCCAAGTGTGTCACGATTGCATCATACGATTGGTGAACAGCTTTGATAGCCCTTGCATGATGTGGCACCCATCGACAACCAGAAACACGAACTGGACGCAACAGACTACAGTTCAAAGCCTCCGCAGCAGCCTTCAGCCCCTCCCATCTATTGGCTGAATATTTGTAGAAACTGTACACATTGTACAGAACTTCATCTATCACTGACATGTAGGAGATTGACTTTGCTGAATCCTTTACTGCAAGTTCTAATCTATGAGAGCAACAGTGTATTGCAACTAGATGTGGTACAAAAGTTTTTATACGTGTTGTGACTCCACTTTTGCAACCCATCATTGTCGAAGCACCATCAAAGCACACCCCCACTAAGCTGTATCTCCATTCATCACAGTCAAACTCCAACTTGTCATGCATCATTTCCACAATTGCATCTTAGATATGACTGGCATCAGCCTTTGTAACTTTAGACAAACACACAAATACTGACTTCGGCAAACCATCATGAACATATCTGATGAACATTATTTCCTGCTCAGTTGTACTACAGTCTGTACTGCCGTCGCACAACACCGAAAAAAACTCTGCTTTTTTCAGTTCAGAAACAATTTCACTCATTGTCCATTCATTAATAAACTTGATGAACTCCCTGGCCTGTTTATCTGATGCATAGTTCATGCCCACACTGTCAACTCCTGCAATTGACAACAATTCCAATACCTTTGGAAAGTCACTTTTTGTTTTTTCATTTAATGCTAACCAATATGCAGTTGTGAATAAAACCTTCAACATATCAGTTTGATGTTCATGCATTTTCGAAATTGATTGTTCAAGTGGCAACTTCGCTCTAGTAGATGAGGTTTTAGCACAAAGTTCAGCAAGTTCACTGCATTCAGATCGTTTGTGAATTTCACTCTTTTCATGAATTTTTATTTCTTGTAATCTATAAGATTTTGTTCCTGCACGAAACGCATTCGATTTCCCACTTTTGTCGAATTTCCGACACACTGAGCAGAACATTACATTCTCATCATGTTTTAACCAGTCCCGCCCTGTTTTCCATTCATTTCGAAACGAATAAGTTTTAGATTTCTTTACTTTGGTTCTGTGTCAAGTTTTTCGGAACTCGTACGTTTCTCGGCAATCTCGCTACTTGTGCTTGGTTTCGGTTTCACTTCTATGTCATTAAGTCCACCTGAAGCAGGTTTCGCACTTCTATCACTTGCTTGATCAACATCACTTTCTTTTCTGTCTGAAAGTGTCTTTTTAGCTTAAGAAATTGAAGATTTTTTATTGCCCCGTCGGTCCAGACATTTTCGCTTTTGAACACACGTGTGACACACAGGCGATCGATGCATGGGATTCACCCCTTATACTACTATAGGAACAAGGTAATTCACCCGCCATATTGGATACCTCGATAAACCTGTTGTGAAAGCCTAGTGATAGGAAAGGCGCTTACCTTGCTTCGTGAGCGTAGATGATGGGGAGATCAAGCGTTCTGTAAGTATACTGCAATATGCGTCCGTTCGGTTCAGTGTCTCGTCTTGATATCCTAATTGTCACCTGTCAGATTTGGCGGGTAAGTTGATCACGTGCCTCGATCACACCCGGAAACATACGAGCAGCATCAGATGGCCAATCCAATGTTACCCGATGTACGAGTGTGGAAGCACTGATCACTACAAACATATAGTTGTACAACGAAAACGAATACTTACGTGACTGAATATATCCATGTTTATCCATGTCAAGCGAGAAATCAGCGTGAATAGAGGTTTATCGAGGTATCCAATATGGCGGGTGAATTACCTTGTTCCTATAGTAGTATAAGGGGTGAATCCCATGCATCGATTGCCTGTGGTGTGACAGCTGACATGAGGCCGGAAGACTTCCTTACTAAGCGATAACGTTTTTTTCCGAAGTTAAAAACGAGTGCACACGAGTCCTCACGGAAATATCCGAGGACAATGAAGTTACGACCTTTGAATCTTTTCATTGGCTGTTAGCAACAATGACGTAGGAAAAACTCGAGAAAGCGTTTGTGATTGGTTCATTGTCAAAATGAATATGCAAATGAAGCCCGTATTTAGGTCAAGTCTATTTTTGTCAATGCGGAAGTAAACCACTGTTTACGTATCGCTAACGTTTCAAACGTTTTAGTAATCGATTTTTTACATTATTCTTCGAATGTAATACGATTTTTTTCAAGCTGTACCTGGTGCAGTCTGGTAAGAGATATAGGCTGCACAAGGCAATTTTCACCTGCACTGGTGCAGAATTTATATAGCGATTTCGAACCCTGTAACAGTAACATAGGACTCGGTGTTTCTCAAAGTCCAACTATCTGATGTCACTCTCACTGACTGGGCTGCCTTTAAATCTTGTTCCAGTTGTGCTTGGACCTCGCAGTACATTTCTGGGATAGCTTGATCAGAAAGTAGGGACGAGAAGGAAGTTTGTATCTCAGCTCTAACATATGCACCATGTGTTTGAAACCTTCGTTTTCAAAGACTGAGAAAGGTCGTAAGTCTTTCACTATAAACTCTGGCATCAACCTTGTTATTGACTATGATCGCCTACTAGTGAAACTGAACTGTTCATCAAGGTTATGTTTGGACTGTAGTGCCTTTGGCAAGACCAGATTTATTCCAGGTGTCACTTACTGACATGCCTGACTCAACTTTAACAAGAATTTCGGGATTATGTCGCTGCATATCGGTCATCGGACATTCGGCAGTGCCGACAATTAACTTTGCTCTTGTCAGGAGCTGAAACTCCCGCTTTATCATTGAAACCATAATTTCGGCAAATTGCTGCCCTATACTGGTGGGTCCAAAAGCTTTGCTATTTCGTTTTTTTGTCTGCACTTGCACTGGCCATTTTGTGCACACTGCTCAATGCACATGCGTATTTGTGTGGTGCATTGTGGGTTACTAAAGTCATTGTTTTAAACATTATTAATCACCACGAATTTGGCCTTTTGTTTCCAAACAATATGTCATTCTATATTTTAGATATTTTTAGATTGAAGTTTGTAGCAGTGCATTCATAATGTATCCTATTTTTCACATTACACATCCTTCAAATCGATATATCGTATCTATCGTGGGCCTTCTATCCTGGTATATGGTTTTCGCTAATCTTGATGCCATCAATGCTCTTATCAACTCTACACAGGGATTGTTGTATGTTTTAGTGGTGCAACTCATACTTTTGAAGCCAATAAGAATGTTCCTCATCCTGAGGGCGAAAGAATTCGGATGCTTGTCCGCAATATCAAAGGAATGGCCTGAATTACAGAAGTGCGAGTCTCTGTTGACAGGTCCAATAAAACACTCTCTAGTTCAATTAGGACGAAGGCTAAACTTGATACAGTTATATTTAAGAAGTTACTGTTTATATTTTTCAAACCACTGTAAGGTACATGTATATCATTCAGTTTATCATTTACTTTGGCAGTGAATATATGCTCACTTATAGATAATAAGCGAGGAAAAGTCTTCATAATATGACTTACTAAACAATATATAACGTAAAACACATAAGGTTTATTTATTTATTCATTCCACTTCTTTCCCCTATTTCAATTTACAAAAGTTTGTTACAATACATAATCATTATGTTACAGCATATCAACAAAACACTTCTGAATTTACACTGATAGGATATGTCCTTCAAAGTCTTGAGATAGCATGTCTTGCATCATCCCCTCTGGATCATAGTAACACAAACAGTCAATAAGTTCCTTGCAACAGACATGACAATGGACTTGTCCACTATGACAACTCACGTGACGTAACATATTATTGTGACGACATATGCCACGCTCTTTTTGAAGGAGAGTAAGTTTCTCTTCTTCATATGGATGTTCCACTATTGAATGATCAGTAACACCTCTGGATAAATCACCGGTAACATTCATCTCCATGACTTGATGTTGTTTCTCTTGTTGTTCAATGTCTTTAGTGAGTTGAGTGTATTCCAACCACCAGTCATCCAAGGTAGGTTCTGTTAGAGGAGTTACAGGGTCTGCCATGAGCGAGGTTGATGGTTGTACTACTGACTCAGTATGTGGATTATCTTCCGACATTGTGCTATGAAATAACATAAAAAACAAATGAAAGACATGTGAATCGTAAAATTTTCATCATAGAAAAATATCATACAATAAAAAGAAATGAGTAGATTTAATACACTTACCTTGTTTGCAAAGAGACTGCAGCAGCTTGAAGGGATTTCTTCTGTTTGATCTTCTGCTTCTGTGTAGTTTTTTCTCCTTCTTTGTATTTGAAACTTTGGTCTTCTTTGCAGCTGGAGGTTCCACATTCTCTGTAGCTGAAGGTATCTCCTCCACTTCTCTAGACTTCTTTACCTTAGGAAGAGTCTTCTTATGAGATTTTTGCTTTCTGTTCCCTGAATTCCTGCTGGTAGATGTGGTTGCGATTTTTGTGTGATCAAAAGCCAAAGTCAGGAGAGCAGGAGATACTGATGGAAGTTTCTCTTCTAAGGTCTTCATCTGTCTTGACATCTCTGTGTAAGTGGTCTTGTAGAAGTCGCTTGTCCGTATCATAGTTTCATGCAAATGTACCTGAGTACTAAGAATATCCTTCACTTCTTGAAACACGTTGGTGAGTAACTGGTCTGTTGAAAAGACCATGTTGTTAATGTCCAGACACTTCTGTGCCATGATGATTGCACGCAGGGGCGATCTTCCAAACACTTGTGTGTGTGTGATAATGACAACATGCAAGATTTAAAACGTCTTATAGTGGAAGTTGCAACATGGGATTGTATGGTACATCTACCGTCGGATTGGTTCTTGAGTAGTGCAGATGTTGTCTGATTGGATAAAAATTGAATAGTATATCGTCTTTCTGATTGGGTAACAAACCACTTTCGTGGAATGTTATTGTTTGAACATGAATCATGAATCAAGAACGCTCAGGATTGTAAACAACTACAATTTCAAATTTAACCATTTTTCTGACAGATATATTCAACAAGTACCATATTTTAACGACTTTTGGTATGACGCGGTCGGGTATCAAACCCGCGACCTTCCGCTCTCCAGGCGGACGCTCTAACCACTACACCACGGAGGCAGTCTGCACAGTAAGGAGGGACATGATGATTCCATCCACTGCAAGGCTGCATCTAAAAATCGGGGAAACTGAAGTCTGCCTGCAGCTTGGTCATCTGTCCAAGATATCCCCAGCTTACATCAATACCATAGTGACCATGTTCACCTCCCCCCTTCACAGTGGCCTTCTCCCATATAGCGCCAGGAATGTTGGATCTGTCCAGAAGCTGAAGGTCAGTAAATTCCTCCTGTAGGGTAGCCATTTCTGGTGGGGTGCTGAATGGCAGCAGGTGGCTGTACCTTTTCTAGAAGAAAAGAACGTCTTCGAATGTAGCTTCTTCCCTCCAGAACACATCAACTAACCGGGCATGCCTTAATGTTAAGTCATGATCATCTTGCCAGGGCAGCTTCTTCACGGCTTCACAAGCTGCCTTTGTGTAGAATGACCTGACACCCTTGAAGAAGGTCTTCTGCTGGTGAGGCGAAATGTCTCTTGTGCCATCCTCCAGTTGATTTTCCAGAAACATTCTCTCTAATAATGCTTATCTTGACAAACGTCCAGAGCAGTTTCTTGAGAAATGATGTTATCTGTGGAGGTAAGGGTCTTCTCTTTGGAGAAATCTGTTGAAGGCTGTAAAGACTGGAAGAACTGACTGATAAAAGAGGAGAGAAGCCTCAGTCATTGGATCCTCAAATACTCCCCGAAGTCTTTTGAACCTAGGTTGGCACTCGTTCTCTGACTTGAACAGGGTTCATACACTTGTAAGTACCCTAAATTCCATGACTTTTCCATGGTTTTTCAAGGCTATTTTCTGAGCTTTCCATGACAGGGCAAGGACCCAATACTTAAACACAAAAACACAAAATTAAAGACCACCAAACTTGGAAAGAAAACAAACACCTTTACTAAATCATGTCTTTGGACATATTTAACATGACTTTTTCCATTACATATTAGAACTGACACTGCAAACTGCCAACCATGTGTAAAGTCTGTTTTGGAGTTCCTGCACTTTACACACATATTTAAGTTTCAGGTGGAGTATCTTCCGAACTTCTCGAGGTTACATTCATTATATCGATGATTTTCAATGTCTTTTCTGTGTTTTACAGACTTCAAATGACTTGTAAGGGCAGCCTCGCCCATATTCGAAATGCCGACATCTTTTACGCAAAGGCAACATTCTGCATTGAACTTACTTCGTGGGCTCCTTCTTATCCATGAATATTTTGACAGCCATGTGGCACTAAATGTATGACCAGGCATAGTAACTAAGCAAATCGCCGTTAACTTTTTCTCATAAACTGTCAAAACAATTGCTCTCGTTTTCCTTCCAGTCAAACAGAATTCGCGAAAAGATGGAATGATTTGTCAAACGAAATAATACATTAATATTATCTATCCGTCACTTGTGATGTAATAGTATGAGTAGTCGCCACCTCCGACCCATTAGGGCACTGAGTCACATTTACCTACAAGGACCAGGCCGTGGTTGAATGTCAGATCTAGACAAAACAACAATACGTGGAGGTGACAAATCTTCCAAAGTAATAGGGCTAGACGAATGGGGTCGGAACAGTTGACGCACATTCTTGCTAAGATAAGAGTCCGATGCCTCGTCCAGAAAATCTTCTTTAGGAGACTTGGATTTTGAACGTATTGCAGATTTTACTCGGCGATCTAATGTAGAACGTTTCGGCTCCGATGGACCTTCCGATGGATTCCTCCGATCTCTATCTGCCTTGTGCCTGCTAGCTACCCGACGATACTCTGAGAATGCATCGTCGTCCAGGTTAGCACATAAACTACAACGTTTAGACCAATCGCATCGTCCAAGGCAATCCACACAAGAGTTATGAGGGTCCGCTGCCGAAAAGTTACTAATGCATCTTTCACAATGTTTACGTTTCTTTGAAGCGTGACGATTTGATTTTCCCATAGTAGAAACACAAACAAAAACTCTCTTAACCACAACACACGTCCACACAGCGTGGCGACAAGAAAGAGAATGACAAGTAGAGGTGGTCATGTGATCGTTTAGGCGAGCCGCACGCTTTGGTGGATGATTGACACGTGTTGATGTCGGGGTGAGGGCAGAGGTCAGGGCGGGTCAGAGGCCAGTTAGATTTGACTCTACTTAGCTGACAGCACGTTTCCACACATGGTCATAGAAGAGAGAGATGGTGCATACCGTGAGATAGGATAAGTATATAAATATACAATTTATTATAAAATTTTCAATATTATCTATTTACTCAAGGAATTCATAGCTCAATTGAATATCATGTTGCTTGATAGTTTTTTATCGTAAAAACAAAATACAGGTGCAAAACTGTTCAATTTATCACCTTTCACCATCATAAAAACAATCCCAAACCGTTAAAATTAGCCAGCCACATTTTTTTTACACCAGAAACTCGGTTACTTCACACAGTGCTACCACGCACACTGTTATATTAAACAATGATGTTCAGAGCTGAACAGAATTGCTGGTCGATAGGTTCTTCACAAGATCTCGTCCTATTTCATTTTAATTTAAAAATGAGCGTGAAAAATACTAATTCATAATTTGAAATTTCACATGAACTAAATTTCCATAACTTTTCCATGACTTTTTAAATATATGCCCATTTTCCATAACTTTTGAAGGCCTGGAAATGTAATACTAATTTCCCAAAACTTTTCCAGGTTTCCATGACCCATGCAAGCCCTGCTTGAAGTAACTTTTTGTCCATTCATATAAATCCAGATTCCTGTCAACAGCTTGCTCAAGACTGAGCCCTCGAGTGCTAACATGTCTGACATCTTTGTAGTCAGTGTCACAAAAGTGACAAAACTCAGCCAAGATAGATTTTCTTTTTGTTCCCTTCTCGAACCAATAGAATACATCAACACAAAAATCTTTGACGTCAGACCCAACTTCCTGTTGAAAGGAATCTGATGCCCTACAAGCCAAGTTGTGGACCAAGTGGCTAGGACATCCAACACAGTAGCAGGATGAAACCTCTTGTGTAACTCGGGATTTGATGCTATTCCTCTTCCCAAGGTTAACACTGGTGTTGTCGACACCAAAGGCAACACAGTTAACCCAAGGAATGTCATACAAATCAATCTTTTCCTTCTTTGTATACTTATCAGGGCAGTATATATCACGTAACAGTAACACGTTAAATTTGCAATTAAAAATCACTAGACAAGATTATTTATCTTTTCAGTTCTAATTTGTTTTTGCTAGGCAAAATATTCGTATTATATGCAGGGATTATGATTACCGTGTGTATTTGTCTCGTATACAGCGCCGGAAATAGCAATCAGCTGTCCACATGTTTCCCGGTGATTTAGTTAAAACATACCCAATGATATATCGAAATAAATTCTGATGCCGGGATTGGAAAAATATAGTGTATGAAATTATTCTCTTACCAAGAGAAATATACTCATGGAAACAAATAAGGGAACACATGAAAGTACAAGTGTTCCTTTATTTATTTCCAGATTTTCACCCACAGTGCGATACATACCTTGCGAAGAAACCTGGAAAAGAATAAAGGAACACTTGTACTTTCATGTGTTCCCTTATTTGTTTCTAAGAGTATATATTCTAGCATTGTGTAGTCCTAAGTGACATAAGCATCTACAGAATCAAACTGTTCTTGGTTTCTCTTATTGAAATGTTGCCATGTCTCATTTGTCTCACCAATACAGTAGGCTTCCAATTTGTCCAAGATTTTATCCACTTTCTGCTTTCATGCTCATTATCAAACTATAAACCATCCAGTATGTCAAGAGTTTCAAAACCAACGCGATGTAATGAGCTCTGCTGTCATACTAGTGTTAGATGAATTTAGATCAATTGCTAGTGCAAGCGAGAAAGCAAACAACCAATCAAATTCTTTGTATCATTAACTAGCTGGTATTTTAACACTATCGCCGTTGCATGTGGCGCTTCTCATTGGCTATTTAGATTCAGAAACCGATGCACAGCAATTTGTCTCAAGTGATATTTGATTATTGTAATAATGCATGAAAACATGTGAAACATCATAATTAAAGTCGGATTAAACGTAAGAGCTTAATTTTATCATTAAAAAACGTAATGATTATGCCAAAATCGTAGTGGTTGGCATCTCTGGATAGCATGAACAATATCAACAAAAACATTGTATCTCATAATGGGCAACTCGAGCGTCTCTTCTTCACAAATTATCACATGAAAGCTGAGACTATGTTTGGTAGCCTGATTATCTGGAAAGCTTCAACTTCAGCCACCCTACAATGCCATTTGTGAACCATTAGCTGCATTATTCAATTCTCCCTCTTCAAACAGCTCATCTAAATTTCAAATCTTGAGGTTTGGTAAATGTGCTTCCACCCAATGAATAAGAATAATAGTCACTTTTGCACCTGTGTCCCACAATGCAGATATCTCTATCTTATCTTGTCAATAACACAGTTTACCAAACACCTTTTACCAAACATTTTCTGAATTGCCCTCTGCTGTGGAGAAAGACAGTTCATATATACTTGACCGGTATATACTCT